GTTTGATCATCTAAAGTGTTAAATTAAAACTCACGACCTCATAACATGAGTTGCGAGTCGATATTTCATGTGTTCTTACAAATGCAGCTCCCCTTATTACATTAAAAAAAACTACCGTACGGCCAAAACGAATCCAGGTTTTCTTCCACAAAATGCGTTGTCAGGCTCTCAATGTCGGGCCTGAAAAATCCAACAGTTCTCGCTCAATCCACTTCATCCTCCAAATTTTATCGGTTCCAGCATTGCTTATTCATTCTTCCCCTCTTCAACAGTCTTTTCTATAACCAACTTATTGTGTGTGACACGATTTAGAACCACAATCGAAGGGATCTCCCTGGTAGCGCCCAACCTGGATACCAGTTGGAGTGTTCTCTGAATGGCTTTTGACTCGCTCTGTTTCGGCTGTTGACCTGACATTCTAGCGCTCCAGCTGGACAGCCGTATTCGTAATGAAAGTGACATCCGAACTGCGTGAGGTCAAGACCACTTATTCCACACGCTTAGTTGACGGGGCGCTTTTTCCAGAATTGGTGACAAACCACTTCACTGCGTGTGTAATTTCTGGGACTTTCATTCTACGTCCGCCAGCCCGTAGAAGATAAAAATGTTAAACGCTTTGTGCGGGACCAAGAACACGACTAATGGACAACGAGTTGCCTAGTTACAAACATGGTAATCTGCAAACGGCGGTGAGATTGTTCCTGAGTGCCATGGATCCAGCGTGGCTGGGAGCATTGACCAGCGTTCGTTTTGTCCTGAATCCGTTTCAGAAATTGGTCTTTTCTGCGAAAAAGGTGCATACACCTATCAGTTTGTTTCACAGTATCGACTGTCAGAATTACTGATATATTGTAGCGAAATTATTCTACAAAAGTAGGCTCTTACAACACCATCTGTCATCTTGTAAACCCTATTGAGTTGGTAGCCCTTCTAGACTTTCCCATAGGGATGCTTTCTCTTAAGAAGGGCAAGATTGCCTGATCATTTTCTGAAAAAGGTCAAAATGAAAGTCAAAATAAGTCACCGCAAACTGGAGCTAAATGTAACAGTTGGCTAAGTCCATTCCTTCCTGCGTAACTACTTTGTGTGTCCATCCCTTTTTGCCTCAGTCACCTTGCCCATGTCAGCGGATGACCTTGCCTGACATGTACCATTGACTACCGCGTTGTCGTTGCCTGCCTTTTGTCGAGTTTGGTCTCCTCTCCATAAACTGAGTTCCTGTTCGGATAGGCTCTGTCTCCTGTAGTTTGCACGTCGCGCACTCAGCAGCAAAATAGCATATATAAGACTAGTCTCGTCCGCCTCCCCCCCCACATTGAGATGGAAAATCGCTTAATGTAGAACCTGTGTATGGCATGCCCTTCTGCACGGGGAATATTCCCTTACCGTTCCTACTTTTTTCAATCGTACCCAGAGAAAATTTACTTCACAGTTAGGTTGAAGAAAGTTAAGTCAGGCAGCAACGACCACCACCACTCCCACAGCTTAGGATGACAAGTGACTCTGGTCTTTGATGTCACTCAGTTGACCATCAATCCCAGTGAAGTGTGTGCTCCACAAGAATAGAGAGGAACAAGATGGTAAACGACAGAACCTATATAATTACGTTTATCTTCCCTTTATATGGTCCCCCAACACCCCGTTGGATTCAAATGTCCTCTCGGGATGAGCCGAAGATAACTCCATTGGAGAACAAGGCCCCACGGGGATGATGGAAAGTAGACGTGGAGTTAACCGTCAAACGGGACAAAGGTTTTAGAATCTCACTAATGGATGGAGCAATAATGTTGTCTCGGGGAGGTTGGATGCATTTTTTTACTTCCAAACTGCTGAATGGAGCTCAGCCTAGTAGATCACTTTCCTTTGCATGATAGAGCACTCAACCAGTTAATGGTGCAAACGCCACGACCAACTGATGTTCTCTACTTCGTGTGATTCACCAACACCGCTGTATTCCTAAGCACATGACATTTATACTCCAAACAGGTTAGCCGTCTTCTGGATATCACCTGGTACATTCTTTTGACTTTAGCACACCTGTGTCTAAGTGGTTCTGGCAACCAAGACAATGATGTTTACGTTGGACAATAAAAAAAAACATCCGTGGACTTGTTCAACCTGCCAAACTCGGCGAACATAAATGGCATCGGGCCAAGTAGAAGCTCACAAGAGGGCGATGGTCAGAGCAAAACATGTTGACAAATGAACTAGGTAAAAGGTTAGTTAGTTGTTGTCATGTATTCAGTTCTCTTGAAGAATACGGTTCCTTTTCTAAACGTGTGCACTTTGCTGGCTAGCAGAAAGGGTGTGGGGGGTTCTATCAAGTGAAGACCAGCATCACCAACAACAAGAGGCGAAGGTGTAGTTACTATCCCGAAAGTATACCTGTCTATCTTTCATGGAATTTCAGTAACATTCCACACACCTAATGATGAAACCCCATCATGCAAGCATAACGATATTATGAGATGCATAACTTTAAGCTTTAACCGTAAGGTTAGTGCAAAGACGTCCATCTGAAGCCACATACCCAAAATTGATGTGTGACCACTCCAAGACAAACATAATCTCATGGGTTTCTATGATTACTCAAAACTGGAATAGTGACTTAGCTCAGAGGAAACTTTCTTTTTCTAACAGTATCTGGTCCCTCATGTGTCTTCCGAATGACATAGCAAGCGTATACAGTGAGGGTGTCATGGCTTAGTGGCCTGTTCTTTGTCAGAAGAGAGTTTTACATTTCAGGAGAGAATTCCACCGCGGTTTTTCATCGGGTTCGGAACGTTCAAACCACCAAAGCGAATATAGAACACATGGGTATCCTCGAATCTATTGGTTGAAGTAGGCCCGGGCTGTAAATCTGATGATCCATGAAACGATGAGCAATGTCTCCCGCAGCCTAGACATGGTCCGACCATGTTCCCAATATTTTCGGGTCAGCACCAGCTACGATCATTCAGCTCAATAAAATGTGTAATAGGTATGACCGCACCAATATCCAGTATAATCAACGTTCAAATCGCATTCTTCGGTGGTTACCCACTTGTCTGTTGAGAAGCGAATGAGACTAGCAGTTAGCGAATATACACTCATCTGCAAACTAATTTGGTTCTTTCGAGAGACCCACCTGGAACACAGCTGAAACCGGTCGTGGGCTGTCGATGGATTTTCAGCAACCTTATGAGTAGTACATTACAAATATACATGTATCGCGATATTTCAAATATCGTAGTGACTGAAAAATGAGGCGGCCTGGTGCAGCATATTCAGTTGCCTGAGAACATCATAAACGAGAGATTCAGCTGGGTTCCAGGTGAGTCTCTCGAAAGAACCAAATTAATTTGCAGATGAGTGTATATTCGCTAATTTCGTGCAATTTGGTTTCAAGTAGAACATAAGGTTGGCGGAAACCCCGGGGACTGCGCCTACCTGATGAGCCCCAAGAAGGGCGAAACCGGTCGTGGGCTGCCGATGGATTTTCAGCAACCTTATGAGTATTACATTACAAAGAGACTAGCAGTTGTTTTAACACAGGACTGCAATTCATTTATGTGAAAAGTGTGTCCATAACTGTTGGCAGTTTTACTCCAATGCAAGGTTAAGGTACAGTGAACAAACTCCAGCACAGTGTCTACTGTTACCAGAACGGAACTGTTAATTGTCTAAAAATTTCGTCTTAACTACGGACTGATCGTTTCTGGTCAATTTTCACACTCTGCTTATATTTGTCGTCACCACACGTTCAGCCACCAGATTGCATCGTGCTGAGTCCCTATTGATTTATCCTCGTTCCGCTCTCACGTGTGACTCATATTGGTCGTTGCATTTCGTTATTTTTCTGCCCGATCGTGCTTAACTGTTAGCCCCTATTGGGTATTTGTCGTCACCACACGTTCAGCCACCAGATTGCATCGTGCTGAGTCCCTATTGATTTATCCTCGTTCCGCTCTCACGTGTGACTCATATTGGTCGTTGCATTTCGTTATTTTTCTGCCCGATCGTGCATAACTGTTGGCCCCTATTGGTTATTCGGTTGAAGAGAAAGTCTCAGTCAATTCATGCCATTTTCTCCGATGTATATAAACCGCCTTACTTCGCGGCGAAAAAGACCTGTTCCTGTGCTCGACTTTGGCTTCTTCCTTACGCGAGTTGACGGGTTACCTCCGGACGACACAGCATCTATAGCCTCAGGGACAGAATTCTAAGATGAATGGCTGCTGCATTCCTGTGGGGATCACGAACCTTCACATTCCGTCAGTTTTGGACAGTTTTGGATGCCCGGAAGGAGACTATTCTACACCAGGATACGCAATTCACGATCGTTTAAAAACGAAGATATCTTGGAAATCCAACGAGAAAACTGACAACATATTTAATGTTACTGGGCTAATAGATTAACAGTAGATATCAGCACTGTTATACGTGTGCCCCTTGTATGAATTCTACAGTAGACTTAGATGTTATCCAGCTACAAAGTGCTTCGGGACTTGGTTGATCATGAGCAACCCAAGTACACGCAGTACGAACGAAAAAAGCACACAGGACATCCTGGCTGACTGGTCTGCGTGCTAAGAGCCTATAGACGGAGTCTTGGTCCCCGGTTTCCAATGGACCATGGACTTCCTGCATCGTCTCACCGCCTTATGGTCCGGGTACTCAACCGGTTTTTGGGCGATCATTTCAACTGGCCCTTTCTGTCTGGGTGGAAAAACTGCCCTCACTGGGCACAGAAGTTTTCATCAGGTGTTCTTTATCGAGAGGAAGTGCAGCGGTGATAATTCAGCGGCCTGTAAATTCTATTTTTTGCGACGAATGAAACAATTAGTCTATTTAGATTTACTCGACGGAAGGCTTGAGTGACACTATGCAATAACTGCACAGCACTTGCCGAGGAAATAACCGTAGTTTTTCCTTTTACCGTTACTCATCGATTCTGGCGCGCTTGTTTGACCTGGATTGGCCGACTCGTGTTACATCTTGTACCTGGTTTATTACTCCAGGCACATCGAGCCGTTAACACACGCACTAACTGTGTTGTTTATCAACGCGGTAGGTAAACAAAGCCACCCGACTTTTCGTTACATTGCTGCTACATTTGCCTAAGTTATGGTGGGCTGTACGAGGCATCTGAATCGCATGCTCACACGAGATGTTGGTTTCGGAGACGAAATCAACTGTGAAAACACGGTGCGCCCACTTTCGACGTGGTTATTTCTAAGCAAGTGGTGGCCGGATGTCATCCGAACTTTTCATTTTGTGCGGGACATTAGTAAGAGATCGTGGCTGTGAGACGATAGATAATAGACGTTCAGGGATTTCCAGGAGATAATTGCTATCATTGAAAATCAACACTCTTCTTAACACTTCCAAAATGTCCCAGTAGCCATAAATCTATATGATTTCCTCTGAAATTCTGACTTCGACAAATCCAATTTTAAGCATGCACTCCATATTTCATCTCAGTCGGTTGCACGATCTATGAATTGTATGAAGCAGCTTCATCGCTCTATTAACCTAGCAACCAAATAAACGTAAGGTTGATTAGCGGATTTACGGCTCATTCGTAGATGAACAGCTCCCTGAATGACCAACGCAGAGTTTAGCTTGCTTTGACATTGGAAGAACAGGACGGGCAAGATTATTGGTGGTTCGCTCAACCATCCAGGTGGCTTACTATGAGCTTGTGGCACCAGATGCGATGGACGCGCTTGATCGGTTGTACGCGTGCAGTATGAGGAAGTCTATCGCCTAAACTGTCCAATGCGCCTCGGGCTTCTGTGGGCCGATGCAGTGAGTGCCATCATCATCATCATCATCATCATCATCATCATCCGGGAGATTAGAAGGGCCTGATCAGGTATCCGTGGGGAACGTTTCTCGAATTTGTTGTGAGCTGAAGTAAACGTATGACCACGGAACCCATACTCGGATGGATGTACTTTAACTTACCATTGACGAAGATACTCCACTCAGTTTTGCAGTACAGTGCCAGTGATGCCCTCTTAATAATGTTGGATTGATGCTATTCGTCGGACTACAGGAAGCACGTGGGCTTTGCTTTGGCCTGGCTCCATTCATCTCTTATGGAGTGATGACCATGGTGCGCAAATGTTCCGCCATGAGACATGTTCGGCTCGACGACACAAACACACTTTTGATTTGCGAGTTATTAGATTCTCTTGCCCCATTCTTGCGGTTTTCATGGCTTAACGGCTGAATAGCCCGACTTCCGCTTGGCCGATGGGAAACAACTCATGCGCATGTCGTCGTATTGTCAGTTCATCACCTTTACGCCGAACAAAGGGGATACATTTTTCAATCTTCTCGATGCTGGTCGATAGATCATACAACCACGAGTGTAATATGTTACCCCCTCTCGTGACCCACGAAGAACAACAGGGCTGCCCTTCTTTGGCATAAGAGGCTGGAGAATACGCTTCTATACTCTCATGAAAACATTTTTGCGTTACGGAAAAAAGTAAGTCATTTTACTGTTGACAGTGCATCATGAGCATTCCGTGAAAGGGCAAAACACAGGGGAATCTAGTTTCTCGATTGGGGCATATGACGTTAACATCGCGGGCAATATGTTGATATTGCCCACGATGTTAACATTCATTCCCGTTGTTGTGGGCTCGTGGATGACCATTAATGATGAAGCAAGATGCGTTGAATGTCTGGGTATGTTATCGACAGGTAACTCTCAAACGGTTCATGATACATCTTATCAAATAAATTGCTGCTGCTTGTACCACCTGTGGTGACGACGAAGTGGATCAGCGCATGCTGCGGAGGAAAGAGCGTTCGCAAGACGTTGCAACAATTTGTTGGTTGCGATTTACGCTTCATGCAAAACCTCAGTTTGTCAAACCGACTGATAGAACAAGGCTAGAAATAATACACTAATCATAAGGTTGCTGAGAACTCTTCGACAGCTCACGACCGGTTTCGCCCTCTTTGGGGCTCATCAGATAGACACAGTCCCGGAGTTTCCGTCAGCCTTACGTTTCACTTGAACCCAAATTGCCCGGGATTAGCGAATTCTACTCATTTGCATATCCACTTGATTTCGCCGATAGACTCGCCTGGAATTCAGCTGAATATCTCGTTTATGCTGTTGTCGTGGGCTGTCCAAGATTTTTTCAGCTGCCTTATCAGTAGTGTATTACGTCTGAACATGTATTGCGATATCTCGAAGATCGTGTCAACTAAAACTTGAAGCGGGTCGGTGCACCACCTTCAGCTGGATTCCAGGTGAGTCACCCGTCAAAACCAAATTGATATGCGAATAATTGTATTTGTCGGGATACTAGAAATATTTAGACAGATGTATGCATATATTGTTCTGAACCACCAGGATGACCCAATTTTACACCACCTTCGGATTCCAGGTGAGTCACCCGTCAAAACCAAATTGATATGCGAATAATTGTATTTGTCGGGATACTAGAAATATTTAGACAGATGTATGCATATATTGTTCTGAACCACCAGGATGACCCAATTTTACTTAATAAATCAACAATAATTCTTATCTTTGTAACAGTTAATCACCAATGGGCTAATTTTATGGAAGCATTCAACAACAGCCTTCTTACAGCTTATTGTCTTCCTCGGTAAGCTTAGTTAAACAGATTCAAGAGATCTCCGGGATGAGCCGATACATGTTCAGTTTATTTGATGTTGTGTTATGCTAAGCTTGATCAGGTTAGAATGTGACTACGAAAAACGACCGAGGTGAGGTGGTTCCTTTCCTAGAAGTTTTTTCTAAACGTCGAAAGATTATATTTGGCAGCCAACGAAGGTGAAACTAGCGCTCTCAAAACAGCATAAAGATGACGTTTTTCAGTCAACAGTTCGTTGAAGTGACTGGATTTGGGCTGGAGTCTGTTTCAGGAGCTTGAAAAAACTGCACAGAATACCTGTTCGTGTTCTTCACACGCTTTTAGAATCAGTTTAGTTCGTTTGGATTTCTTGGCACTTTCAGGATTTAAATTCACTCTGGTCAGTTTGACAAGATAGGAGCGGAGTCCCGGAGTCCTACGTGCGATGGAAAAAGTTTGGGAACAATCAGGAGAGAATCTTTATCTAGTGCTGGCTTTTTATCTTCGTGCTCTTATGAAGAGACCATCTGAAATAAGCTCTGGTCTGCTCTGCAAGGGTTGTGGCAGCCATGAGAAGCCTCTTGGGGATAACCAATTGGTGACTTTTAAGGGTGTCTTGGTAAGGCGAAACATTGGTGGTTGTTACATGAAAACTGGCTGAACTATCCGACTTTCGTTCCAATAAATCTACCGTATTCACGAACTGTGTCCGAAAGGCAAAAGCCCGTCATTGACCTATCGTCATTACTTCATATCCATAAAAAATCCGGGCTACTCGCAGTCAGTGCATTGAATCGCTCATCCCCTTACCACGGTCTGTCTTCAGCTAATTAATATGTTGCTTCCGATCAGCCTGCCCGTCCGCCTCACAGCCATATCCAGAGAATATCTCGTTCAGCAGAACCCCATTGGCCAGGTAAGCTATCCAATCCAGTGTGAAACACGCATCGTTCCGTAGATCGGTGGACTGGATCATCGACCCTATCTATCGAACGCTAGCCACCCGAACTTTGAAAAGCAAGTGCCTCACCCCACTCTGACTGATACGTCTCCCATGGAAGAAGCACTGAACTTGTAATACACAATATTATAGTGATAAAATCTGGGTGATGAACAATAGATGGAAAAATAGAATACTCATTTTTCAAACACGACAGGTAGGTGGAGGAGGGCTGGTGGAGAGGAAAGTTCATTAGGATAAAACGGGAAGTGGGAGGAGGACAATCTACGCCATGTTTTCAAATGAGTGAGGTGGGCCATTTTGGTTGGGACAGTGTCACAGCCAAGGTTAGCCAAGGTCGCGGTGTCTCACTGGCGGATTGGAAAGTCAGCGAGCATAATTGCAAACATGCGGTGAAACATTGAACGATGCATCGATCCGGAGAACAGAAACGCAACCGAGACACAACTGGTTTACCTGTGGACAAATTGAAAACAAACAAGTTAGAAAAGTGAAGTTGAACTCGAAGAAATAGGTCTGGAAACAAAAGATGAACCGGTCAGCCAGGATAAACAACTCTGGACGCCTACTATACAGGCGTATCGAACCATCAGATTCTGGATGCTAGACATTTCTGTGTTGTTGTTTGCGTTAGAGGTTCTGGTTTCAAAAAGCTACCCTGGTTAAATGTATTTCTGTGAGATAACGGATGTCACTCTGTTCACACCAAAAAATGACCACAAAGTGCCTGCCCTACACCATTAATCTGCTTCTTGCTACCAGCATAACTGTACCAGCACCACAACCACCTGAATTTGCATGACTCTTGAAGGATACGGGTATTCAAGAAGGCGCTAACACGGACATTAGTCACACATCCGGCGAGGGCCTACAGCTAACCCACCTTCATTGTCACTTGTACGCTTGATAGCTGGGTATCGCTACATGGTAGTAACTAACTCGGACATCCGTGTGCTAAAGGTTCACGCTCTATGTTTAACTGTTTACTCTAGGCGTTCTCTTCCGAGTTGAGTCAGCGTTCACACCGAGCGAGCAATTCTACCCAATGGTCTAATTTACACCCGTTTTGAATCCTATTCAGTCATGCATGAATAATCAGAGGTTGAGTTTCATTCCCTGCTCGGCGCGACTCGTGCCAGCATGACCTCAAAGCGCATCATTGCTCATTCCGGAAGGTTAGCTGATGGAAGTTTGCATACATAACCATGTTCTACCCCCTTAGCCGGAAGACTGTCAGCCCTCTAATTAGATTTACTCCATACCGAGCCATGCGCACGATAAGGCCACGAAAGCCTGGTGCGATAAAACCGGCGATGATGAGGGTGAGGGCTGCTTCAATCGTGGGTAGAAGTGGGTAAGACCAGGCTTTGTTATGCACATTCTGCGTTTAATTAGTAAAAGACAAGAAACAGATGTGACCTGAGCTTGCACATGTGGGCGCTTGTGTGTAAACCTAGACGACGAAGGAGGGGATGTCTTTTGTCCATATGGCGTGAGGCGGGGGGGGGGGGGGGGAATGGGAAGCAAAAACCGATGAAACGGGGGCTCT